ATCCTGGCATCAATCAATCTCAATGCGCAATTACGCAAGTGATTCCGAAGCTTCTGTTACACACAATGCTATAAGATTTTAAACAGAAAACTCTTGGTGCTCTACCGTTGTTGAGACATTTTGCATGTCCTTGCTTTTGTCATCTGAGTTCATCTCTCTCAAGGACTGAGTGTCCGAGACCATATGTCTCCTCCAAGCCCTGACAGGAACCTTCTCAGCGAAAAACATTGAAATCTCCAAACTTGATCTGCCAGCGGTTTCGCCGACACAGAACCATGTCCAAAGTATGGAGAGACACGTCGTGCCAGCGTATACGAAGCCCACCATCGGGCCTAGCCCGGCATCATAGTACAGATACGGCGCGGTGAACGATACTACCCAGGTCGTCAGGTAGAAAATGACGATACTCGCAGACATGATCTTGTTCTGGTTGGGGCCGACTGCCATTTCTCGAGCGACGGTATACGCAAGGGGGCCAAGACCGAAGTTGAAGCCAACCACGACAATGAAGGAAAACACTATAATAACGTATTGCGTTGAAGATGTCAGTGGCTTGATCGAGATCCCACCGATTATGATGAAAGCCACCAGCATCATAAAGTTGGTGATCATGAGGTTGACACGGCGTCGCACTCTGTTGGCCGTAATTACCGAGGCGCCCACGGCAAAGATTTGGACTATATTGGTGATAAGTTGAACGAGAAAAGGGTCGCCCAATCCAATAGCCTGGACGAAGACGACGCCGTAAACGTAGAAGAACAGAATGCCACAGATTTGTTGGCTGAACATAGCTCCAGCGGAGTATGTCAGCTTGCGTCTTTCGATAGGGTCCGTTATCAGAGATCCCCAGGAAGAGAACTCAGCATGCTGCTCTTCTACGCTCTTCGCATTCTCAGCAGTTGCCATGTCCTCTGATGGGTCGTAGCTTGGCTTGCTTTGATTGATTTTGCGAAAACTTTGCTCGGCCTCCGTACGACGGCCTTTGAGCACGTACCACAGCGGGCTCTCTGGGATGAACGGAAGAAGGGCGGCCATTATTAGGGGAAGTACGACGAGACCTCCCATGGGAATACGGTATCCGAGAGAGCTTTTGATGTTTTGGGTGCCCTGGTTGATCGCAGACGCGCATAGTTGAGACCAAGATTGGAGAAATTGGAAGCACATAAGCGCTGGTCCACGAATTGAGGGGGGTGCAACTTCGCCAATGTACAACAGCGAAGTGACGGTAAATTGGCCGACTCCAAGGCCAATCAGGATACGTCCGACCACAAGAAGGCCTTGTGAGCTGAGCGTGTCTGCGACTTGACAAATGCCGCCGATAAATATGCAGAGCGAAGCCAGCCAAAACGTAGACTTTCTGCCGTACCGATCATTGAGCGGAGCGGCAATGATTGCGCCCAGCAAGTCGCCGATGTAAATGGCGGAGGCTGTCAAGGACTGAAAGGATGAAGACAGAGCGAGCTTGCCGTCGGTATCGCGAATATTTCCATAGTCATTCTTGAACTCCTGCATAGCTAATACTCCGTTGTAATATGTATTGTCGTAGCCATAGCAGAGAGCTCCAATGGCCGAAACGGCGCAATAGAAGATTGCCCACTTGTAATGAGCCCAGGTATTTCGTAATGACATATCGATATTGTTTAAGGGTTGACGCCAATAGAGTCTAGACTTTTGTCCAAGAGTACAGGTGTTTCGAATATTGTGTAATGATAGGAGTACAAGCGGAAAGGCTAACTTAGATCACAAGAGAAAGAGATGAAAGATGCGTCATTTCAAGAACTCAGGGAGGACAATCAGGAATGGGCTATAGTCTCGAGTTATGAGGAATTCCATGTTGAGGCGTCTGCAGTTATTGTGGGGTGTAAGTCTGGGGAAACTTGCACAATCCGGGGAAGCTGGCTCGGACCCCGCTTCCTGAGATTTCCTAAATGAGAAAATCCGACGTATTAACCGTACTAGATCCAGATTATTGCAACACCGCTTGCTTTTTTCGACGAGGTACATGACCCCATGTATAATGGAAGGCGGGGTTGACTAAGTGAAGGGGCATTCAATCTTCCGGTTATTAGGCCGTCCCTCACCTAAGATCGTACCGGTGCTGGGATAAGTTGACGAGGCAACTTGCGTGGTGGGATTTCAGGATTGGGCAACCATCATGTCAGTAAATAGAAACTGGTGAGAAAATTTCCAAAGGTTCAAGTGTTGAATATCTTAAAGTGACACTATTCGATGTTTGCATACCATAGCTACGCCTCCCTGCTGGCCGCTCTTCAGCCTGAGTTCAATTTGTGCCAGTTGGTGATCAAGTAGATCACAGTGCTTGAGTGGAACCTTGGTTCGCCAATTCCAGGTCAGCTGAGGCAGCGTCTGGCCCTTGTGCTGGTCGTAGCTTTCCGGCAGCGAGGCTGGCTGCCCAAGCACGTATCTCTGGCGGCACTCCAGTTCGTTCGTTGGGGACTGTGATTTCCTCGATGTTTCCGTCGCGAGAAATAATGACCTTCTCATTCTCAATCTTTATCCAACCCTTCTCGCAGGCCGCAGTCTACTCGTCTGCGAGCAAATATGTACCTCTCGAGATTTGAAAGACACCCGCCGATCGGGTTTTGCTAAAAAGAGCAGTCCGCGTTGGCACTGGTCGGAAACATGCCCGATACAACTAGTCCGATGCGGGGAGAAAGCATGAGGGGAATGCCTAGCATGAGCACACAGAAGCGGAGAGGGGACAGTCGCTTGGGTGCATCAGCGTCATCAGAGACGGAATGTGAATGTCGCACCGGTTTGGGTTAGGGAATGACAAGTGCTAGAGCTCACACAGCGCCTCATAAAAAGGTTAATATGTGTCATGATGCTTCAAATTCTCCTCGAGGCTCGAAACACTTGTATCCTCCAACCTCACGCATAAAACTGCCGCTGCATTATCACTACAACTATTAGAACTCGCTTCAATATGTCTTCCAAGGTTCTACGGGTTGGAGTCATTGGCGGTGGCGACGTTGCACAAATCGTGCACCTTCCAACGTTCATGTTCTTGTCCAGCCTCTTCAAGGTCGTCACCATTTGCGACATTTCACAAAAGACGGCTCATCATTGTCGTGACAAATTCAAGATTCCTCGCGCGACCACAAACCCGGATGACATCTTCAATGACCCAGCCATTGATGTTGTCGTCATCCTGACATCTGACGAGTATCACGCCCCGTACACGATTGCTGCGTTGAAGGTCGGGAAGAACGTCTTGCTCGAGAAGCCCATGACGCTTAGCCTACAAGCTGGCGAGGAGATTGTCGATGCTGAGACGAATGCCCCCAACAATGCCCGCGTCTTCGTGGGTTACATGCGACGTTACGCTCCAAGTCTCCAAGCCTTCAAACGCGAGATTGCATCCATTGACAAGATCAAGTACGCTCGTGTCAGGGATATCATCGGCCCCAATGCTTATTTCATCGGGCAGTCGGGGGCATATTCGCAGAAATACTACGATGACATACCAATGGAGGCGTCAGAGGACAGAAAGTCGCGACTGGCAGTCCTGCTAGGTCAGGCATGGGGACAAGAGCCAGAATCGCTTTCAGCCGCGCAGATGGACTACTGCTGTCTCCTGGGCAGTCTCGGAAGCCATGGTCTCAGCTTGATGAGGGACGTTTTGGGTGGTCTCCCAGAATCAGTGCTTGCATCGACGGACAACGCGCGCTGGTACACGACAATGTTCGAATACCGGAATGGCACCGCCCCTGACGACCGTTTCACATGTGTCTACGAGATGGGCATCGACTCTGTACCAAGATTTGACTCTCAAGTCGCTGTTTACGGGGAGAACAAATCAGTCACAATTTGTTACGATACACCATTCGTTAAGGGTCTCGGAATCACGGTGGAGATTGACGAGCTGAACGAGCACGGGGAAAAGTCCCACAGATCTCTTCAAACCTCCTACGAGGACGCATACACTGCTGAATTGAAAGAGTGGTACGAAACTGTGGTTCGTGGCAAAGAAGTCAAGACGTCCGCCAAGGACGCTCTGAATGACTTGAGGCTGTTTAGGATGATGATGGATAAATACCCCGATCACAAAAAGATCAAGGATTCATCTAACAACACGCCTTTCTTACCAAGTGGCCCTTAAGTGCCATACACAACTGCGCATTACAATATCTTTACTGAGTTTAACTGAGTTTAATAAACTATGAATCTTGCCTGAACTTGAGCTACTCAAGGTATAGTGCAATTGTAAACAATAAGGGAGTGACTTGACCGCCTGGTGTCATTGGGGGGCTGAATGTAGGCGTTGGTAAAGTCCCTGGGTCGCCAACCCTGGACAATTTTCGGCGACTTTTTCCCCGTCCCTCCCCCATCCATCTTTCCCTCTCGCCATAGGATCCCCGTTCATGTCGATTTCTACATTCTCACTACGCTGTACTTCAACTGTATTAAAGGTCAGCACACAGATTCCAGTACAACTTGCGTGCTATAAACGTCGTCTGGCCTAAAGCTAGGGCTTTCACGCTCCCACATACAGTACCTATGGACACCTTCGAGGAAAATCAGGAATCAGGAGCACCGGCTCCAAAACCATTTCGACTTCGATCTGCGTGCAATCAATGCCACGCTGCTAAGGTAAGTGCCTGCGATTGCCTGGAAATGTACAATCAATCAACACTGCTGGCGGTTGGTTGCGTGGCATGAGACCATTGCTTACTCACAAGTTTGTCCCTGACAGGTCCGATGTTCTGGTAACAAAGAGGGTTGCTCGCGATGCCTTGCCTCCGGGCTTAAATGCCAGTACCGCTTCATTCCCACTGGTCAATGTCCGCGAGCACCTTCGTCAACCCGCAAATGACCGACTTGTTGCCCCTCAGCCTTTTTGAAACCATGTCACAGGGGGTGCACAGCCCACCCGTCTGAGCGGACCACAAAGGTCAAGTGACCCTGAAGACTTGACTCACAAACCAAGCCTTAAGTACTCATCTGATCATCTCTTCCATCACCAATCAATGACACTCGTCTTCGTAGCTCAGTCGGTAGAGCAGCAGTCTCATAGCATTATTAGTGTGGTGATGGTAGCTGAAGGTCGTCAAATCGAGTCTGACCGGAGACAATTTCTTTTTGCTAATGGTAAGAGGTTGGCCTGGGTACATGTACTACTAATTCATGGCCTCGATGTCTCTCGAATACCTTACGAATGTGAGTGTAGGCGGTATAAATCTCAAATTTTATGATTCCATGAGACAGTAAGTAGTGCTGACATCAGAAATAATTGCAACTTGAGTATACTAAGGCCTGCGACCCCAAACGGCGTTGAATCGTAGAAGGCGTCCAACCGTATCAACCTCCACCTTTGTATCACGTAGTACGTCCCCAAAGTCTTCAGCTTGGATATCGGAGTCATCGGGTAGGCCTTAACTAAGTCAGCAATGGAGGATACAGAACAGTCAAGTTCTTTACCTTTTGCGGCCGTTGCGAAATGCTCCACTACCTCTAGCAGATTTTGCTTCGCAGCATCCCCCAAACGATGGTCCGAATTGGCCGCCCCAACAGGAATCTCCATGATTTTCTCCGAAACACCCTGGAGACCCTCGGCTTCTAGCCACTCACGGACTTGAAGCCCCACACGCTGATTCCAGCTCAAACCTGGTAACATGCGTGCTACCAAGGTCTGGAACCTATGCAGCCTAGGATACTTAGGTTTCTGTTCTTCCGTGAGATGCTCGAGGGTACCCTCCACGAGCTGCACATAGCCAGAGCCAGGCTTTGTCAGCTCCGCGAGACCCCTGACCGCGTTCTGGCCGGTCTCTGGCGTTGTTCCTGCCAGGACCAGCCTCTGGTGGACAAGATCAAATGTCCCTTTCCAAGTCTCTGGCCAGGGCTCGGTCACCGACTGCACGTGGAAGCTCAGGTCGCCGGTCGATCCCAAGCCGGACTGTGGGAACATGGTCGGAGATATATCCGCACCCACGAGGATCGGCTTTCCAGCTTGGATGCCTCGGCAAGCCAAAAGTCTGTGAGAGCAAAGTCCTTGGCATCACGTTTAAGTTGGGTGTTGCGATGCCAAGACTCACCGTCAAAAGTCCCACTTTCGAGGATCTTCAATCCCTTCTGCTTCAAATTGATTGGGGCTAGTATCAGTCCGCCCATGTATGGCTGAATGAGGTCATGCTGCAGACGTAGCCGCTTGATCTCTGCTTCATTGTAGGGCAGAATGTAGTTAGAATAAGGGGGGTCTTGCTGAGTCATGATGTTGCGATATTGTCTACCAGCAAGTTCATGGGAGCACCAATGGAAAGATCTATCATGGCAATGGATCGATTGGGCATCTCTCTTTCCTCTTGATGTAGCCCAAAATTTGGTTCTAAAACCTTTCCCAACTTCTACCAAACCTTGCTGCAAAGGTTGGCGGTTTGCCCTTGGCTAGCATTCCTTCGGTGGCCGAAAGCCCTCCTGACCCTCCGAAGGCTATCTCGGTGACCGATAAGTTGGTACTTGCGTACTTCTGCAGTGTTCCATCGTGAGACTCAAACAGGACAGTTCAAGCAAAGCCCCACAAGACGCCCTGCAGTTTGTTTGTAGTCTGGCAAGCCTTGGCATGCAAGCCTTCGACTCTCCTTTTTCCGACTCAACTGCGGTGACACCCGTTTGTGGACAATAGGAATGGGCTGCAGTAGGAATAGAATTTTCACAACAAAATCCACGGAGTTTGTGTCACTCACATAATTTGCGACTATTTACAATTGAGGATAAAACGACACGGACAAATAGTGCTAGTTGCCTAATTTCTTTCGTACCTAGCTTAGACAATGTAGCGACACATTCGTTCGGTACGAAAAGCTTGTCCAAGCACAGAGTAAATCAATATATATGGGAGGGTTCTGAAAAAATCTTAAACTCTAGATGGTAGTGGTGGGACAGCAAAACAGACAAATTTCAAATATAAATGGGTTTCAGGCTTCCATCAAGATTTCCACAACGCCTTATATTCCTTCGAACGCGTCAGGCCACTTCACTGACGGGCACACTTCATCAAGACGTCAGGCAAAGACACCCAGCTCTCGTCCTGAATCCCATGATCTTGATCACCAGACTGTGCTGCGAAGCTTGGGGCATTTACATTAACCTTTCGTGTTGAGCGCGTTGAAGAATGACCTCTCCTTTCAGAAAGGCTAAGAGTCTTTTGGACGTAGCGGTTTCAGTGCCGGCGTGCTTCGGCGTTGGCGATCCTCCAACGTGTCGTACAGATTCCCAGGTTTCCTCCTTGCTTCGTCTGTGGCACTGATGAATGTGTTCCAGCGGGCAATTTGACACTGCATGTGTTCATCTAATAGATCTCCTTCATAATACCACTCTTCCTTCCAAGAACACGGGTCGAACGGACGGTCCTCGTGTGCGATCTCGATATCCGCTTCCAACTTTGGCAATCCGGTTGGTTCCAGATCTGGCGTTAGCCATTCTTTTGACCACTGCACAGGTACGCCGTGGTGGAATTTCGGTTTGTGTATCCCCAAATTGATATACTCGTCAACTGCGCGCTGTTCAATGGTCTTCCGGTAATAAGGGTTGGCGCTTTGGCAGGCCATTTCCCATTGCGATGCATTCGGACGACACCATAATTCGTCGTATAGACCTTGGTAGTTGGCGTAAATGCAAGCTACCGAAACTTGCTCCTTCATATCAGGGCGGCGCCATGCCAGCTCGCGAAGAGTATTCTCGTGGGGCACATGGGGCCACCAGAATATCACAGGTAACTCATCTCCATCTGTCTCATGGTCTATGCGAGAAAGATCGTTGTTCATTATGAAACGAGCAAGGACGGCTTGACGAAGGACATCATGGCCTTCATCGAAGTCCTGTTCCAGACGATTGTCCAGCCACCTCGCGAAGGCTGTATGATGATACGCTCCTCTAATAACCGCAGAAATCTCGCCCGAAATCCTTTTCGAGCGTCGTCTTAGCCGCCAATAGCGGTCAATATTACCTTCCCAGGCAGCCATGAGAATCAAGGCATCTTTGTTGATGTTGGGGAGATCAGTTGGAAGGGGAGAGTACAGTAAATGGACAAATTCCGTTGGGATCTGACGATAAACTGTCCCCGGGCAGTCTTTGATGCCAACGCATTCGTCCTCCTGGATATCGAAGTAGTGCTCGTAAGTCGTATTCATTGTTTTGACAGTTTTGTAGCCCCAGGCGTATGACAGTGTGGAGATCACAGCAGTGTCGCCGTTGAGATATGGCGTGCACTCTGGGTTCTCCAAGTTTACTGTTCGCGTGTAGTCGTCCATGACAATGTATCTGGTGGAATGACTGGCAATAGACTGGAATATAGCGTCGGCTTCGCCACGATTGTCGCGGGCTTCCTCCGCTATTGAAACGTCTGGCAACAACTTAAGCTCATGATAGAGCGCGGAGTATCCGGCAACCGCGCAAGCTCTTCCAATGTGATAACGCATGTCTGGATACCTACGTGCTAGTTCCCGATAAGTGGACTCATCTGCCACGTCGGGATACCATATACAATACGGTTTTGAATCCGCTGTTTGCATATCTGGGATAACGTTGCTCATGATCAGACGGGCATTGCGGGCTCTGGTGAACAAGCCACTAGTGAAATGGACGTTGTTGCATAATCGAGCCACCTCCGCGGATTTCGCTACCTTAAGGTGGTGTCGAATAGCATAAACCGTGCAGCTATGTGCCGTCATCGAGTCCATATGTTCTTCTGAATGACAGGAGAATTTGTTCCCTCTCATGACTGAACTCAGATAGTTATCTTTCCAAGGCTTAGTGCTGATGCAAGCTTGTGATTTTGTTGCTCTGAATGCGGCAGCTTTCGGCGAGAAGGAGTCCATCGCAAAAGGGGCACCACAAACATATCGCAGCGGGGCGAACGCAAACCTCCCCATGCCTATTGTCCACCTAGCTGGGGCAGCGTACTGCATTCTTTCGTCGTTCTTCTTGCTGTCGAAAGCGTGAGGTGCACCTCGTAGCATGAAAATGGATGTGACGATGTGCGTAGAATAGTGAAAGCAGGTTGACAAGTGGGAAAGGTTTTCCACCCACAGGACTGAGCCACATTAAAACCATAATCAGGTGATTGAATTGACGGTCTCTTCTTCTTGTCTTCTAAAGTTTTTTTTTCATACCTTTACATAGCAGTTCACCGCCTGCGGGCATACCTTTTTGAGCCGTATGACTCTGACGTGAAATTATGTATGGGCCCACAGAGAAACCTCTATGGCCAACCCAGCTAGCAAATTGTGCTCGGGGCCTACAAAATTCTAAAGATGCGCGGCTCTTTTGTCGACGAAGATACGGGGGCCCAATGTTTGACAATTGAATACGTATGAAAGACAACGATAGTCTCCATCACATCCTTGCCATTGATGAATATGCTTGCTTCTCGTCTGAAGTTCGTCGAGGTCACACCGGCGAGCGGTTATGAATAGCTTCATCGCGGAGTCCACCACATACGACCATACCCATTGGAAAACTCGGGATCCCGTCCGCTCTCCCATAGATAAGCCAATGAGGGCTGGAGTAGTAGTCGGGTCGGTGACGACCGGCGAATGCCCGGTGTTGTATGTCTTTTTGTCTACGATCGATTCATTTTTGACGTCTACGGCCGGATTGTGATACTCTTGTGTCGAGTAGCGTCTTGCTGGGAAGAAACAAGCGAAAACTCAAATGAGTGAATGCTCTCATTGTACGCCTTTGAGGCGAACAGCACTTCGCAACGCTTCTATGGTCAAGTGTCATGCGTTGTGGAGATTGAACGACTACTACGAAAGGTAGGCTCGAGTCGGCAGCGCATCTGAGCGGGGCCGGGAGGCAACTCACAGAGCTGTCTTTTTCGGTTTGATGCGAGTCACATACTGTAGTCACGGTGGATCAAAGCCCGGCGTAAAGGAGAATTTTTGTTTTGTTTGTATTACAGTTTCTTATGTTGGGCGTCTGGCGTGCCAGCCAGGCCGTGGTATGGTACATCGTGAGTGGAACAGCTATAAGACAAGCCAAGAAAAGCCTTTTTAGGTAAGTTTCGTTTCATCTTACAATCCCCCGCCGTCATGCGTCGTCAAGATATCTCTCTGCATTTTATTTTCTCTTCAC